TGTGCTTTGTTAGGAAAAAGCTACTGTTTCCTCTTGGGATTGCTAGGCTGTTTTGGGATGTTTCCCATAACCTATTTGTGTATTTTTTTTTTAAATAAAATATTTCTTTCTACTGAAAGCTTGTTTATGTGACAGAATATTCTCTCTGTTCAGTAATCTTTACAACTTGTTTTACTGGAACATCAAACAGGGAATTTCCAGGACCTGTTTCAAGTGTTTTTTTTTGGACATCAAGTAGAGCATTTCTCCTCCCTGTAATTTCAGAGTTCAGGTTTTAACCCTTGGTACACAACAAACACACTCTTAATTAACTCCAGCTACTGAGTTTGCAGTTCTCCGGTGATAATTTGCACAGAAGTTCCTCCTTCATGCAGCACAGAGTGGAATAAGCTTTAAATAGCTTCTTACAGCTTGAACTTCCTTATTAGCTTCTCTCCCCAGAGACAGAAGTCGGGAATAAAGGCAGGCTGAGGTCACAGCAAGCACTGAGAGAGGAGGGAAATGGGGTGGGGACCTCTGGTTTGCCCAAAAGTAAATGCCAAAATGCTGCAGTGGGACTCGCAGCAATGGCAGGATGAGCCACCAGTGAATGCAATGCAATGCAATGCAGCAATGGCAGGATGAGCCACCAGTGAATGCAATGCAGTGCAGCAATGCCAGGATGAGCCACCAGTGAATGCAATGCAATGCAATGCAGCAATGGCAGGATGAGCCACCAGTGAATGCAATGCAATGCAATGCAGCAATGGCAGGCACAGAGCCACCAGTGAATGCAATGCAATGCAGCAATGGCAGGCACAGAGCCACCAGTGAATGCAATGCAATGCAGCAATGGCAGGCACAGAGCCACCAGTGAATGCAATGCAATGCAGTGCAATGCAGCAATGGCAGGCACAGAGCCACCAGTGAATGCAATGCAATGCAATGCAGCAATGCCAGGATGAGCCACCAGTGAATTGCCCAAATGCAGCATCTGCCCTAATTGCCATCATTACCTCGAGTGAGCAGACCTGACAAACGAGAGCCACCCACATCTGCCCAAGTAAGACCTGTTATCTGTGCTGTTATCAGCTTTGAAAAACAGAATCAGCTTCCTCAAGAAACGTCCAGCAGCACAGAGCTGCAGCTTCCTTTGCTGGGAGCTTGGTGCCAGGCTGGGGTGGTGCTGCAGGGCTGCCCCGTGCTCAGGATGGGCTGTGGGCACCCCAAAACCGGGGAATAGCACCCCAGAACCAGGGAACCCCAAAACCCAGGGAACAGCACCCCAAAACCAGCGAACAGCACCCCAAAACCAGGGAAAAGCACCCCCAGAGCCAGAGAACAACACCCCAAACCAGGGAACCCCAAACCCAGGGAATAGCACCCCAAAACCAGGGAAAAGCACCCCCAAACCCAGGGAACAGCACCCCCAAAACCAGGGAAAAGCACCCCCAAACCCAGGGAACAGCACCCCAAACCTGGGAACAGCACCCCCAAAACCCGGGAACAGCACCCCAAACCCAGGAACAGCACCCCAAAACCAGGGAATAGCACCCCAAACCCAGGGAACAGCACCCCCAAAACCAGGGAACAGCACCCCAGCCTGCTGGAACCCAGAGCAGAGCCCTTCCAGCAGGGAACCCCTGGCACAGCTCTCTGCTCCTGCCCCGCACACGCTGGCACTCCGGAGGTGAGCAGAATCAGCTTTTTAAGACTGGCAAACCGAGCTGCTTCCAGCAAGAGACAACCAAAAACCTCCCCAGGCTTGCAATAAAGGCTGTAAGGAATGCCTGCACTCCATAAACAGCACCCAAGGGAGCTCTGCTCCATGGAAGCTGCTCTCTAAGTGATGCACAAGCCCAATTTGCCCCATCTGTGAAAGATTTAACAGCAGGAAGGTTTTGTGTTACTGAACTTTTCTTTTTATTTAAACAAGAGGCAGGATTGAGTTTTCCAAACTGCACTGTAAATCTAGTTTCTAAATCCACTAACAAACAACACCTAGTTTCTCATTAATACTGCTTTACAGTGCATCACTGCACTCAGGAGCAAAGAGATGAACACCAGCTCCCAGTCATTAACACAAAATAGTTTCTATTCCAGTGTAAATTGCCTGAGGCCTTATTAACATAAAGGAACAAGCCAGGAAGCTGCTTCCTGTTTTCTGAAAGTAAACAGAACCTCAGTTCTAATGTATGGAAAGCAGGGGGGAGGGAGCAGAGTGCTCTAACACAGCGACAGGGATCCATTTAAATATTGAATTGTTTCCAGGCGTGGTGTGCCATTTCAGAAGGCAAACCTGTGGCTCCTGCAACCCTTCCTGCACTGCAAGGAGGACTGGGAGCCCAGCTCAGGATTATGCAACTCTCTGACAGCATCTGGGTTGTCTGGATGATATAAACACAATTATAACTACAGGAAAAGGAGCATAATAAGAAGTCAGGCTTAAAATCTGTTCCAAGGAGAACATTGAAATTTATGTAGTGGACAGGAAGCTACTTTCAGGCAAAAAAAAAAAAAAAAAAAAAGTTTTGGTTTTTTTCCCAAAGAACTTTTAAAACAGATGAAGCAAACTGAAGCACTGGGAAAGAATATTTTGAATACAGTCAGTCTGTCAGACAGCAAGGGGGAAAGGGGCAGGATTTGGGGAGAGGGGAAAAAGGAGCGAGCTCAACAAGCAGTGTCTGCTCAGCAGCTCCATTCTGGCACACAGCAACGGGGCCAGCGCCAGCCAACAAGTGCCTGATACCATCGGGGAGAGGAAAACTATTTTAAGCTTTGTCATCTGCACGCATGGATTCTCTCTGCTAAATGCCAGATGCAAAATGCTTGTCTCCAAGCGTGCAGGAATATCAATTATTGCAGACTGTGCTACAACCAGATGACATGTTTACAAACCAAGGTACTCCTCCTATGCAAGTGCCTGTCCTTTCCTATAATGTACCACAGGACTCTGCTCAAACAACCAGAGCTCAGAATCACTGGAATCTGAAGCAGAAGTAAAACCAGCCCATGAAGGGAAATGTGTTTTTGTCACTGTGAGGGAAGCAAACAGGCAGAGAAAATCCTGATTTGCAGTCACTGACATCTATATGTTTAACACAACTGCTGGAGAAAAATCACTGCTGTGGTTGAGGGTTATGCAATCCCCTAGGAAGGTTCAGAGGATGGAGCTCCACCTGCTCCCAACACATACCCACATTTGAGACAGAACTCTTACTGCTCCAAAGAAACGCAGCTGCCGAGGCAGGAGAGAGCCCTGTCCTGGCCCCTGGGCGCCTGAGAGCGGAGGGACCCCGTCAGACAGGACCTGTGTGAGGAGCAGCAGCTGCCCCAGCCCAGGCCCCACTCCTGTGCTGGAGATTACGGCTCCATTTATATACTTTGTACAAAAAAAATTAAATCAAACTAAATTTGCTCTCAAGAGTGCGGATCTTTAACTCAGAAGTTGTTTTTATTCAGGGCAGCACTTCCGTGCATCAAAACGTGAGCAAGCAGATTAGCAAGGTTTCCTTTAATCAGTCACACACAAAGCCTTTGGGCCAGGGCGGCACGGTAAATCTGTTACCACAGCTACTATCAGCAAACAACGACTAAAGCAGCGCCAGGCCAGCGTTTCTCCAGCTGTACACTGCAAATAAACGGGGAAAGCAGAGCTGGCAGGGCTGGGCTGCTGAGCCTCTGCTCACATGAAGCAGTTACACATGTCGAGTTCACATGTGGAGTTTTCCTTGCAGAGCTGCTGCCAGCAGGGCCAGCCCGGGCTGCAGCACCTCTGGGGACAGCTGTGGAGGCAAGGAGAGCACAGCTGGCACCTCCAGCACAGCACAGCTGGCACCTCCAGCACAGCTGGCACCTCCAGCACAGCACAGCTGGCACCTCCAGCACAGCACAGCTGGCACCTACAGCATCTCACAGTGCTCCAGCATCTCCAACCCCAGGGCTGGCAGCTCTTCCCTCAGCAGGCACCAAGAGCCAGCCTGCATTTGAAGCTGCCATTGCCCTTTCCCACCAGCCCCAGCTGTCCCCACAGCCCTGAGATGAAACACTGCAGCACATCCCTGACAGAGGAAGGGGAAAACAGCCCTAACCTTCCATTAGATCGGTGTTTCATACTCCGTAATTATCAAGCATAGGTTACAATTTCATTTAATTTCTTCTCAGCTATGAGTACTTGACAAATTATGTCAAAGGGTATTCCCAGTGCATTAATCTCCGCACACAAGAGGGAACTGCAGGTTAAATTTCAACAGGAAGGATAATTGCTTTACACCACTGGAAGGTAGGCAATGAAGAGCCTCTGGAATGGAGCTGGTACAGCTCTTCCCATCGGTCTCTGTGCTCCACTGTACACATCTCACACTGAAATACTGAAGGGAGGCTTGTTTGGGTAGCACATTCTGACCACACACACAGTGAAAAGATGGATCTCAGGACAGAGCAGAGACTGGCAAGTGTGTGTTGGAACAGAAAACAAACCTTCCACCTGACCAACAGTTTTGAGAGGGTGACAATATTCCTCCAAAATAAAAGGATGCTGCTGCCAGCAAAGGGAAGGGTAAGCAGCTGAGCCCTCAGGGCTGCTGCTCTCAGCAGTGCCAGCTTATGGAGGCTTAGCCAACACAAAGCCAGGGATGGTTTTTACTCAGTGTGACGTTATTGTCACTAAAAGACTCATCTGTGATCCCTCTTGGGGAGAAGAGCTCCTGCTTTGAGCAGCCCTCCTTGCTAAGGGAGAAAAAACCTAGAAAGGAATTGTGGTGCACCTTTTACACAGCAGAAACACATGGTTCTTTATCAGAAAGGATGAAAACACACATATAACACTGTATTTCAATACCAAAATGCTTCTTGCACACAGCTTCTGAGACAAAAATTACCTACAGCATTTCCTGTGTAATCCTGCTGATATTCAGTGGGATTCTGAACCAGTAATGAACTTCACCTTGGTACAGCTCTCTGCAGAACTCACAGTGGTACTGCTGTCATGTTTGTTTCTTATCCTGATTCTTAAAACCTACCTTTAAAGCCTCTATGACAAGATCTCTTGCTTCTAATTCTCCCTCGAGAATGCTAAACAGCGTCAGTAGCTCTGGTTTGCTGAGTTTTTCCAGATTCATCCTGAAAACCTGAAAAATAACGAAACCCAGTTTAGTAGGCATTTCTTTGGACATTAAGATCAGTATTCGAAGCGATGACAAATAATCTCATTTAAGCTCAGCTCCCAGCTCTCTGGAGTGCCAATTGCCCTGAGGGGGGGTAATTTTCTCTCATTTTCCAGCACCAGTTGCAGAAGATGCATTTGTCACCTCCTCCCAGATGGCGATGGCAGAACGCGTGGGCTGACAGGGCAGGACAACACTCACCGGGCAGCAGCCAGAGTTCACAGGACAGGGGAAAAACAAGGATATTCAGAAGTCACAGTGGCCACACACCTGCCTCCCACAGCTGCAAGCACCAGTGAGGAGCTGGGATGAGCCAGGGCCAGCGCGGCCACCCACGGGAGCTCAGCAGGGCTGGATCTGCTCCTGGGAATGCCATTAGCTGATGGAGCAGGAACAAACCCCCCACAAAAATCAATGCCACGGAAAACACACACTTCATTACTGCTCTTTCAAACTGTTCAATATCAGCATCATCTGTTAAATATCATCTTACTGCCTGCATAAGAGATCCCTCATCTGCACCGCATATAAAGAGGCTTCATATTCTCCTCCATCTTTGATGATACACTTAACACTGTCCCATAGTAAGCCTTTTTGTTACATTATTTTGTTAAAAATGGAAATAATTTCAGACTAAATCCTTGTCTCTGATGAAAATATACCCATTGATGCAGTCTTGTGCTTTGCACAACCACCAAATACACTTTTCTGAGGCCAAGTCATGTCCATCCTTCACCACACTCCGTGTCAAACAGAAAATGCTGCAGCATGAAGAAAATAATCAGAGATATCAAACTCCAGCGGCAAGTGATAAGGGGTTAAATTGGCCCTGCTGGAGGATCCATCCAGCTGAAACACTCAGCTGAAGTCTAGCTTGTCTGAAGCCACTGCTCCTTTACAGCTGATTTGCATAACTGCGCCTTGGAGAGTTACACACAAAAGCAAGTTCTGTCTTGTTTGTGCCAGAGCAGTTTTCCAGTGCTGGGAACAGAAAGTTCTGCAGTCATCACACAGCAAGAGAAATCAGAGATTGCTCTGTGCCCCTCTGCTAGCAGGGAAGCGTCCTGTCCCATCACACCCACACTCCTCCCTCTCACTCACGGTGTTTTACACGCAATTCCAGAAGGCAGCAGCGATTCTGGCAGCTCTGCCGGCTCCCCCTCCCTGGGCAGGGGCTGCTCAGGGTAACACCAGGGCAGGGACCCCGAGGGGCTGCTCCAAACCCGGCCGAGCCGGGCACCACAGCCCTGTCCCACTGCATTGCCGTCCCTGCTGCAGAGCCGGTCACAGACGCAAGAGGAAAACCCACGAGCGGAACGCTTGGGAAATCTGCTCGTGTTTGTCACCGGGTCAAAAATCCCTGATCAAAACTCGACACAAAGGCACAACTTAGGGGACCAATGTACTAAGATCCCATTTCTGCGGGCCAGGGCAGCGCTGGGCACCTCTGGTCAGTGCATGGACCTCGGCAGGGATGCCCCGGTGGGAGCCTGGCCATGTCCCTCCCTCTGGACACGGCCTGGGGCTCTGCTGAGACCCCGTGCAAGCAGTGTGATTTACAACTTCCATCTCAGAAAGACGGAAGCAGCAAAGAAATGCTAAACCATCAAGAAGTAGCCACAGAGAGCGAGAAAAGACATAGCCTGGCTCTAGCCTTTGATATTTACCATGGTTGTGTTGGTGCTCATGCCAAAGCTGCAGCATTTCCCTGGGCAGCCTGTAGATGTGGAATATCCAAACATTGCTTAGGAGGTGCACGGCTTGATTTCAAAACCATCTCAGTCCTTGCTGAGACTGAATTCACAGGTTCTAAGACTGCACCAATACCAGTGGGAAATACCTTTTATTGCCAGGCACTCACCAGGTTACAGTGGCACTGGGACATTATAAACCTGAAGGAAAAGGAGATCTTAGAACAAAGTGTATCCTATAATTCTGTTACCTATAATTCTGTTACCTATAATCCTATAATTCTGTTACCCCAGGACAGTAAGTGTTGCACATGGACTTACACCATGACTGCATCCATGCTTTTCCCTAAAAAAGAGATGATGTGGAAACGTGCAGCTGCATCTCCCCAAACAGTTCAGTCTTGCAGCAAGGACAGCTAGCAGCTGCAGTTTGGTATTGTAAAGCCATTAGTCAGGGCAGCAATAATTTCTGCTCTATATTCTAACTACTCCCATTGTGACTCGTACTCGCCAGTGTTGTAGGAATAAGCCAGGCTATTCTTACCACGCCTTTGTAGGCTGTAATGTGCTTAACAACATCAACAAGCCCTGTCCTAAAATATACAGGTAAAAATACCTAAGAGAAACAAAGAGCAGGAGCCAGTGTGCACAGCAATCATTTATCCAACAACAAGAGGTGACATTACAGGCATGTCAGTGGTACAGCCTCAGCTTCCTCATGTGCAGCCTGCTGCAGGAGAGGATCTCCACCTGCTTTGTTTGCATCACACCGCTGCAGGAACAGACTGGGAGCAGATGCAACAAATAAAGGCACTGCTCTAAAAACCCCCCAAAATGTACCTGTGCTCTCCAGTGATCTCAGGGAGCCTTCAGAGCACCCCAGGCAGATGGCTGTTATGCTGAATGGACCACAATCCCAAACATTCCCTTTCAGGGCCACTCTGCACTTGGGAGCTGAAATTCGGGGGATAAAAAGCCCTATTCATTTGCTGTTACTGTCCTACAGAAACAAGAAGCATCTCTGGGTCAGAGAGCTAATAAGCACGTACTTGAGCTCCTTTTCCCCTATCCAAATCCAAATCCAAATCCCTTCCCAGCCCTCCAGGCTCCTGAGCTGACCTTTCCAAGGCTCTTCCAAGCTACACACGCCTGTGCCTTCCCTCGTCCCGTGTTTTATCAAAAGATCACACCAACTCTATTAAATTACACAGTTCTCCCCCTTGCCAAGTGTCTCATTCCACCACAGGGATCTGGGCACTTCAGCTGGGGAACCTGACCCTCTGTTTCCAAACCTTTAACCAAGAGGCATCAGAAACAAGATCCAGCGACTGCCAGGGCACGGCACCCCTTTACATCCAGGGAAACACACTGAGCGCACTCACACAGATCACAAACCACAAAGACCTTGTTGTTTAGACCCATTACATAAATATTTTCCCCGAGTCCGAGATACACCACCATTTTTGGACAATGAGGCAGAGTTTAAAGCATAAACAAAGATAATCACTTTCTGCTTGCCTAAAGGTGAGCTTGCTTTCAGCTTCGGACCACTGGAGACCCCTGGGCAGAGCCATGCCCACCCTCCAAGCAGATAACACCTTTCTAAGAAAGCTATTTCCCGGTATTTCACTGGAAATAACCACGGAGAGCAGTTTAAGTGTCCGCACACCACCGGAGCGGGGGAGTTATCTGTGGCATGTGCCACTTGAGGAACTCTCAGATAGGCTGGCAGCTCCCTCTCAGCCACGGCGGGTGATCCTGACACCGCGCCAGGGCACAGCTCACTGCCCTCACACACACACAGACGGGCAGAACCCACCCAGAGGATGGTGCCAGGGCAGGGGAACCTCATACACTGACCGCCAGGGCTGGAGCCAGGGGCAGAACCCACCCAGAGGATGGTGCCAGCTCAGGAGAACCTCATACACCGACCTCCAGGGCTGGAGCCAGGGGCAGAACCCACCCAGTGGATGGTGCCAGGGCAGGGGAACCTCATACACTGACCGCCAGGGCTGGAGCCAGGGGCAGAACCCACCCAGAGAATGGTGCCAGGGCAGGGGAACCTCATACACTGACCGCCAGGGTACAGCTCACTGCCCTCACACACACAGACGGGCAGAACCCACCCAGCGGATGGTGCCAGGGCAGGGGAACCTCATACACTGACCGCCAGGGCTGGAGCCAGGGGCAGAACCCACCCAGAGGATGGTGCCAGGGCAGGGGAACCTCATACACCGACCTCCAGGGCTGGAGCCAGGGGCAGGAACCCAAGGGGAGCCCCAGGCAGGACCCCAAGCACAGCCCGAGGCATGGGGAGGCACCTTGGGGATCCTCTGCGAGCCCTTGGCTCAAAACTCTTCCACTTTTTAAAAAGAACATCATGAAGAACCAAGCTTGTTGCTCCTTCCTCCTCTGACAGAGGGTATTTCCTAAACCTACACCAACGCAACAATGCCACAATGCCGAATATTCTGAATCAGCTTAATTGCCTTTCCTGTGTTCCTGAAGAGGAACCAGCATTTTCCAGAAGCCAGCACGGGCAGTCGTGTCATCACATTAATGGCAGAACCTCAATGACCAGTTGGAGAAGTCCTGACAGACAAGTTCCCAAAATTGTTTCTGCGTGTATCGAGTGGTGTTTGAGTCGTTTCAATAATTACATATGTTCATGTAATGAAAAATGCTAACATAGACCTAATAATTGTGTATCCACAGTGCTACCTGGCATTGCATCACTCCTGTGGAGATCCAGGATAAAATGAGAACTGTTTATATTTCCTTCACCTTTGTATCTCAGCCCTAAAGGAAAAAGGGCATTACCCACAAAAACCCATCCCCATCGCATTAGGTTTCGTAGTAATTCTCAGAAGGAAGCAAACTAGCAAAATTCCAGCATGGATTTTGTGTGGGTCCTTGAAGCCCCCGTGCAGAACCGAAACCATCGCTGGCTGCTGACCTTCAGCCCCGGGCCGGGGAGCCGCGCCCGCCCTGCCGCTCCCGGCGCCGGTGAGAACGGCGGGTCAGCCCGGGACCGGGACGGGCACGGTGGGCAGCGCGGGCCAGCCCGGGACCGGGACCGGCACCGGCCCCGGTGAGAACAGCGGGTCAGCCCGGGACCGGGACGGGCACGGTGGGCAGCGCGGGCCAGCCCGGGACCGGCACCGGCACCGGCCCCGGTGAGAACAGCGGGCCGGCCCGGGACCGGCACCGGCACGGTGGGCAGCGCGGGCCAGCCCGGGACACCGCCGGCGGCACGGCCGGTGCTGTATTGTCCGGGACCGGCACTGCCCGGGGACCGCACGGGTGGGTGTCGGGGCCAGGCTCGGTGGCTCCCGCGCTGCACCGGCCCGGTACAAGCGCGGCGAACAAAGGGAAGCGCCGCAGCGGAGCCCGCGGGGAAGGAGGGCGGGCGCGGGGAACAACAACCGGCTCCGTCGCCGCTCGGTGCGCGGGCCCGGCCGGACCGGGCACCGACGCCCGGATCCCGGTAACGCCCCCCGGCCCTCCGGCACCGCCCCCCGCTCTCCCGTTCCCCCGATGCCTCCCCTTCCCCGCCGCCTGCGGCCGCCCAGTCCCGGCCGCAGCTGCCCCCGCCCGCAGCGGGGCTCGGCCCCGCCGCCGCCGCCCCTCTCAGCCCCCGCGGGCCGGGCCGCCCCGCACCTGCGTCCGCCCCCCGCAGGGGCAGGGGCAGCGCCGCGCCAGGACGGGCCGGGCCGGGCCGGGCCGGGCCGGGCCGGGCCGGGCCGGACAGGACCGGACCGGACCGGACCGGACCGAGCCGAGAGCAGGACCGCGCCCGCCCCGCCGCACCGACCTGCCCGGCCCCGCGCCGCCGTCGCCGCCGCCGCTCCGCTCCCCATCGGCCGCCCCGCCCCTCCGTGACCGACGGCCCGCCCGCCAATCAGCGCCGCCGCCGCCGCGTCTGCGGGCCAGTCCGCCGCGGGGAGGGCGGGGCGGGGGCGGGCACAGCCAATGAGGCGGCGCGGAGGGCGGGGCCGTGAGTGAAAATCCCTTTTGTTCGCGGCAGAGCGAGCGGGCGGCCGTGATTGGCGCGTCACTTCCGGCGGGGCGGGGCCGCGGCACCGCCCGGGCCGCCGCCCCCGGCCGTGGCTGTGTCGGGCGGGGCCGGGGCCGGGGCCGTTCGAACCGGGCGGGGACAGGCGGACGGGATGTGCAGCCCCGCCGTGCCCAGCCCAGGTGTGCCCAGGTGTGCCCAGCCGTGCAGCCCGGGCGCAGCCCCGCGCTCCGGTGCCGTGTCGTCGGCGGGGCTGCCGCGCTCCGGTGCCGGTGGCGGGGCTGCCCTTCCCCGGTGCGGTTCCGGCGGCGCTCCGTTGCCGGTGGCGCTCCGGTGCCGGGGCTGCGCGCTGCTTTCCCGTCTCGTTTCCGGGGCTGCCGCGCTCCCGGTGCCGCTCCGGCGGGGCTCCGGTGCCCCCGCGCGTCCGCAGCTCCCGCTCAGCCGCAGCCCCGCCGCTCGAACTGTTTTCCCGAGTTCACAAAGCGCACCCAAGCCGCTCACAGGTCGGGATAGAAGGGAGCGGGTGCGTTCCCGTGCGTTTATCCCCGTGCGTTTATTCCCGTGCGTTTATCCCCGTGCGTTCCCGTGTCTTTTTTCCACGTGTTCCCGTGCGTTCCCGTGTATGGGGTCCTCCTGGTGCGAACGTTCCCGGTGCTGCCCAGCCCCGCTGCTGGAACTCGGGAGAAAGGAGAGCTTTGTGCAAGAAGGAGAGCTTTGTGCAGGAAGGCTTTGCTGAGGCTGATTGCCCGGAGATGAACCGAGCCTGGAGAGGCCGTGGATGCACGAGGCGCACCCGGGAACATCTGGCACCAAAAGCGTCTCTGTTCTGGGGCTTGCTGAGGACACCTGGTGAACCCAGAGCAAACATCTGAAGGGACTGAGAGCCTTAAACCTCCTAGGTGGTCTCAGGGGTGGCAAATAAACAACTGCTGCCTTTAAAATCAGTGCTATTGAGAGGGGGAAAAAAGTTTAATAGCTGAGTCCATGCAGAAAAAATACATGAAAAGATAAAGAAGATATTCAGTTGCCCACTGGTCTGCATTGAGGGGGCAATAAATCATCTGCACAGGGCAGGAGAGGCTTTCCAGGTCTGGAAGGCATCTCTCTCCAGGCTGTTTGGTCACTTTGCAATGTTTAACGTGCTGTAGAGGTGCTGGCACAGCTGCCCAGAGAAAGGCAGGAACATTTGCAGCAGGAATGACCAGCGAGTGGATGACCCTGCCGACGGTCTGTGCCAGCCTGGCAGTGTCCAAGGCCGGGTTGGACGGGGCTTGGAGCAACCTGGGATAGTGGGAAGTGTCCCTGCTCATGGCAGGGGTGGAAGGACAGGAGCTTTGGGGTCCCGTGAATGACATTCTGTGAGTGCCAGGTGTGTCAGGCACAGGCAGAACATTCAGGTACCCTGGGGGTCTGTGCAGGGTGGAGGGGAACAAGGAGAGGGCAGGTCCAGATGGCTCCAGCAGCTGCACAGGTGAGGACAAGCACAGGTGTGTGCAGGAGGCTCTGGATCCCTGGGCCTGGTATGGAGCTGTGACCCGAGTGCCAGGGAAGGGCGAGGGGCTCTGGGGGCTGCAGGTCCTGTGGGATCAGAGCAGGACATCCTGCAGGTCCTGTGGGATCAGAGCTGCAGGTCCTGTGGGATCAGAGCAGGACATCCTGCAGGTCCTGTGGGATCAGAGCTGCAGGTCCTGTGGGATCAGAGCACGGGGCCCTGCAGGTCCTGTGGGATCAGAGCAGGACATCCTGCAGGTCCTGTGGGTCCTGTGGGATCAGAGCACGGGGCCCTGCAGGTCCTATGAGAGCAGGAGGTCTCAGCTCTTTGGGAAGCCAGGGAGGCACCAGGATGGGACCCTCAGCAGCTCTGGGCAGGCTCCTGTCCTGCTGGGGAGCATCAACCACCAAAACCTCCCAGAGGGAACGAGGTGGTGAGAGAGAGAGATTCCTCCTGAAGTATCACAGGCAGGAGAGATAAACCACAAACACAAACAATTAGGAAGAAGCACATCTGTCATGTTCTTGATGCTGTCGGAATGAGAATCCATCTGGGAAAAGAGCCAGCCCTGCCTCCCTGGGAATTATGCGTTTTTTCTTTTTAAATATTGCACGACATCCATCTCTGGAGCTGTGTGTTGTTTGTGCTGGCATGTGGGTGTGTATTTCTGAAGGCTCCCTGTATTAACACAAGATCTATAGTCTCATTTTAGAAAATTTGCGGCTATAAAAATATATTCTGGGTTTGACTGAGTGTTTTCCCCTTCCTTCCTGAAACTCTGGAGCCACGTCAAATAGCTTCATAAAGCTTGTAGGGATTTTTAAACTAGAAGTTACTGCCTTGCCTTGCCTTTCAAAATGCACTCTTGATTTTAAGTGTTGGGATGTTGTTTGCTTTTAAACTAGTGAATGCTGGAAACTTGCTCTAAATTTCTTTTTTATTTTGTTGCTTACTGAGAAAAATCCCATTATACCAAAGGGAAATGGGAATAAAGCATTTCATAAAAATATATGGTATATAACCAAAAAAACCCCTCAGCCTTCTAAAATGAGTGTGCAGGAAAAGGGCAGAATTCTATCAGCATTGTCCCTTGAGTAAATGCCCTCCCTTGGGAGGTACCAAAGGAAAAATCCCATTATACCAAAGGGAAATGGGAATAAAGCATTTCATACAAATACATGGTATATAAGTAAAAAAACCCCTCAGTCTTCTAAAATGGGTGCGCAGGAAAAGGGCAGAATTCTCTCAGCATTGTCAGTGAGGGATGGTGTTTGCAGGGGTCCCAGGATGAGGGAAGAGACATGGAGAATGTTGACTCCATGTTTCAGAAGGCTGATTTATTATTTTATTATATATATTACATTAAAACTATACTAAAAGAATAGAAGAAAGGATTTCATCAGAAGGCTGGCTAAGAATAGAAAAAGAATGATAACAAAGGTTTGTGGCTCGGCTCTCCGTCCAAGCCAGCTGACTGTGATTGGCCATTAATCAGAAACAACCCCATGAGCCCAATCCCAGATGCACCTGTTGCATCCCACAGCAGCAGATAACCATTGTTTGCATTTTGTTCCTGAGGCCTCCCAGCTCCTCAGGAGGAAAACCCCAAGGAAAGGATTTTCCATGAAATACCATGGCTGCAGGACAGCACAGTGACACCGCTGCTGCTCCCGGCTCTGCTCCCAGCCTGGCGAGGCACCAGCCCAGCAGGACAGCGACTCCTCACTCCCCTCTGCTCTCGGTCCCTTTGTGAGTGCTGCAGTGAGAGTGCGAGCAGCTCCAGCTCCAAGGACTCGGGGAAACCCTTTTTCCAATCAGGCAATTTGTGATTTCAATTGCTAAGTGTTTCCCTTCCATTCCTTGGCACTCTAGCACCATCTGAATTGGCTTCCTCAGCACTTCAGGAAGGCTTGTGTTACATTATGTAAGATTTAACAGCCATCACTTCTCCAAAAGTAATACAGAAAAGTGTTTTTTATGACACAAGTGGGAGAGTTCTCATTTGGGAAGCTGATTCTTTGTTGTTTTCAAATGACTGCTTTGCTGCAACTTCAATCTAATAAATAATGTTTTTAATGAAAAAAAAACTAGAAGAAATTTTGTTGTTATTTTGATAAATGGAAATGCCTGCTGAGAGGAAATTAAATTTGTCTCTTTATCTTTATAGGTGCACATCATATACATTTATGTGTTATATTTAGATATAGGAACCCTTGAGGACACTGCCTGCATTCACAGAAGGACAGAGTGGGTAAGATTGGAAATGGCCATGGTGGGGTGCCCTGGCCCAGCCCCTTTTGTGAGTAAGGACACGTCACAAACGTGCAAATTGGATAATCTGGACAATGTGAGTGAGGACATGGCACAAAGGTGCAAGCTGGACAATGTGAGTGAGGATGCCGTGTCCTCCCTCACGTTATCCACATTATCCAACCCTTGTGCCGTGTCCTCCCTCACGTTATCCACATTATCCAACCCTTGTGCCGTGTGCTCACCCACATTATCCACATTATCCAGCTTGCACCTTTGTGCCGTGTGCTCTGCCCACAGGGATCTGGCCCTCGCTGCATCCATCCCCAGCCTCTCTGCACACTGAGCCTGCCAGCAATGACAGAGTCCTCCAGCATTTTCTGCATTCCTTGGCCCGTGCTGGTTGTTTGTGTGCCAGCCCTGCTGCTCGTTAATGTGCCCCATTAATGTGAGGGCTTCTCTCAGTGGCACCCAGGGCGTTGCTAATGGGGATCAATGGGCCAGAGAGGAAACGGCCACAGGGCTCGGCAGCTTCCACTCCTCAGCACCTGCTGCACCCACACTCCAAAGCAGGAAAATCCTAACCTGGCCAGAAATTCTGGGTTCATTCACCAGTGCCTACTAAACCAAGGATGAGAGTGCCATGAGGTGGTTTTCTCTGAAGTGCTGTCACAATGGGAATTCCTCAGAACTGGGCACAGGAGGCAGAGATGCTGCAGATTAAAGAAAACACAACCATAGGGCATTTCTGAGCCATTTAATGCACCAAGCTCCTCCTGTCCCTGCCCTGGAAAATCTGTTACCCCAGAAGTCTCACAGTGAGTCCTGTTTTCCAGGGAACATGACCAATATCAGACACAGCTGAGACAGGAGCAGGAGCCCCTTCCCCATGAAAATCTGTTACCCCAGAAGTCTCAGAGTGAGTCCCATTTTTCCAGGGAACATGACCAATATCAAACACAGCACTGAGAGAGGAGCAGGAGCCACCCAGGGCTTGGGTCCTGCCTGGATTGCTCCTGAGCTGGCAGAGGGGGAATGGAAGATAAGGAGGAGGAAGATGTGAAAGCAGCACTTTAAGGGCCATGGGCAATGAGGCAAGT